CGGGTATTTAGGTGTGCGATAAGCTTCGGCTTCTAAGCAATATAAGATTCTCTCTCTCTCTCTGTATTCTACCGGCTCGCCTCTGGCTCGCAAAACTTCCTGACAATAAATCTCGCTTCGAAAAACATTTTATTATCGTATACTTTACTTGCTCTACCTTTTATTTCTCATTACTTTGGTTTACCCTGGTATACCATACCAGGCTGAGCCTCCTCGTCCCCGACCGAACGGTCGCATTTGTTTGTTCCAAGCGAAAGAAACCCTAAGAAAACTGGCTTCTAGCGAAGAATTCTCCAATCTTGACCTCCCGAAAGGAAGGAAAAGAAACTTATCCGAAAGATCAACCTATGCCGCTGGAAGAACCGGACATTCAGTCATGTCGCAGCAAGCTTCACTCCAGTCCTTTTTCACCCAATCTAGCCCACAAGGGACAGCCCCCCCACAGAACAGGAACACCCAAAATCCCGACCCAACCCCACCCGAGGCACAGGAACAGGAATTTTCCACAACCTTTGCAACAGAATCCGACTACAACGACCCCTACCAACCGAGAATTGACTATCTCTATCCCAGCACTATCCCCCATACTACTCACACCCAGACAGACCTAAACTATATCACCTATGCCATTAGACATGCAACCAGCCGGATCTGCCCACCCTCCGATAGGATTGAAGTCCTAGAAGAGCAATCGATTACACTCCGGAGAACAGTGGAATCACTGAAACATCAAATCGAGGCACAGACAATGATGATCACCAATATGCACTCGGCGATCCATTTCCTCCTCAACAAGCACCAACCGCAGCAACAACAACAACAGCAACAACAACCACAACAACCGCAACCGCAACAAAGACAGAGAACGGCCCCTCCAACGGCTCCCCAAACAGCAGCGCCACAGGCAGCTCCTCAGGTCCCCCCACCCCCACCCCCCCAAGCACCACCACAAGCCCCACCTCGTGGATGGAAAGCAGGTACCTGGGCCACCGTGGCATCGGCAGCCGGTCCTGCCCAAGGAAAATTCCAGGTTGTCGAAAGAAGAAAGAAGCCGGCAAAGCCAAAAGCGGACCCCCTCTTCAAACCAGAGTACACCAAAATCAACAGAGAGATCATTGTTGAAACCACTGTCTCATCCGACGTCAACCCCTCCGAGATCAGGACCCTTGTCAATGCAAGAATTCAGGACGAATCCTGCCACTTCATCTCAGCAAGAAGAACAGCCAAGGATAACTTCGTCCTGGAAACAAAATTCATTACCCCAGCAACAAAGGCAATGGAATATGCCAAAGAAATCGAGGAGGCCCTCCTCACCCTACAAGTACCGGTCGCCAACATTCGCGCAAACTCCAAATGGTCAAAGTTCCTTCTCCACGGAATCCCCACAACGATCGGGGAGGGCATCGAGGCAGGACAACTGGTAGCATCCGAAATCAGAAGCAATTATGGAGAGAACTTCCAACTTGCCAAGGTTCCCCGCTGGATCTCCAGAGCAGAGATTCGAATGGAGAAAACCCACTCATCAATGGTCATCGCGCTCCCAGCACAAATTACGATGGAAACATTAGGAATCAAATTCCTATCCCTTTTTAACAGAAGCTGCCATATCGAGGTCTTCCTCCCAACCTTCCCAGACACCCAGTGTGCGAAATGCCTCGAATACGTCCACCGCCATGAAAAATGCAAGAACAGTGGAAAATACGGCCATTGCGCCGGAGATCACTCCACCAGCTTCCACCCATGCAATGAATACCAAGGAGGATATAAATGCACCCACACCCCAATCAGATGTCTGAACTGCAAAGGAATCCATAAGGCCTCCGACCCAGCATGCCCCGAAAGAGTCAAACGCCGATTCCTCAACAAAGGAAAGGAAAATGCCCCACCCGCCCAAGGCCCACCTGCCGCACCCGCCCAAGAGTTACTTCCGATAATCCAAGTACCAGCTACCGCCCCGGTCGGAGCCACACCCGTTCCCGAAGAGGACCAACACATGACGAATAATGCCTAGGCCCCGAACCACCGCGCTCGCACACCAACTTAACTGTGCACGGAGCGAACTAACCACCAAGGCGGCGGTGGAGGAAGCGGAAACAGACCCTAGTATATTTTTCCTATTATTACAAGAACCATGGACCTCAGCAGAGGGATACCCACCAGAATCAAACCTCTTCTATCTTTTTACAGCCAGCAACACCAACACAAAATGAGCAACATACGTCCGAAAACACACCAACCTTAAATCAAAACACCACTATACATATGCCAATTTCATAGTATCGATTACGGTAGAAATCCAGAACAAGAGAACCCAAATCCTAAACATATACTCCCCAGGCCGAAGTAGCCCCTTCGCCCAAATAGCAAAAACAATCCAAACTCTCGACAACTGCCTTGTAATGGGGGACTTCAACTGCCACCATCAAATGTGGTACGGAGTAACCTCACATGAATACAGAAACAACATCCGAGCAGACCGCGCCAACGGTGCACGGCTAAAACAATGGATAACCCGACAGAAACTGACCCTCCTGAATGAACCAGGAGTCTACACGCATTTCCCCATAGACAGAGGGAAAAGGCCTACAATCATCGACCTCACATTTGTAAAAGGCCCAACACTTGACCACAACCTACGATGGAGCACTGAACCCTACGGAGCGGCCTCAGACCACGGTAGAACCTCTGTCCATTTACACTTGGAAAAACCACCATTTGTATCAAGACGAATGTGGCGACAAACAGACTGGAAGCTATTGAATAACCAAATATCAAATCTTTCCCTCCCTGCAGAGGCATGGGAAACCAAGGAACACACGGAACAAACGGTCGAATTCTTCCTAGAACTGGTAAAGTCAACAATCAATATAGTAACGCCACTCTCGAAGGAGGGTGTAAGAGCCAACTCCTGGTGGACAGACGAAATGAAACAAATGAAGGCAAAGGTAAACTCGGCGGAAAGGAAGGCGAGAAGTACAAAGAAACCCAACCATTTGGAGGAGCACCGGAAGACATGCAGAGAATGGACAGTCATGATCCGGAAAGCAAAAGCGGACCAGCGGGAAAAGACGATGAACGAAGCGAAAGGTAGTGAGGTCTGGAAAATCCTAAATGCAGGAAGGAGAAGAGACACAATCATACCAACCATACAAGGTGAAGAAACGTTTGCGGGCAAGTGTCAAGCTCTAAGAGCTCAACTCTTCCCCTCAAAACGGACGTCCCCCGACCATCCCCCTCTAAACATTAGACCCCCCTCTTTTGACCTTAGCAACACTTTCGACACAGGCACCCCCGAGGAAGTTAAAAAAGCAATCGACTCTTGCCCAGCGCACTCGGCGACCGGCCCGGATGGCATCCCCTATACATTTATCAAAGCGATAGTCAGAGCAAACACAACTCTAATCCAAGACATGTTCTCCGCCATGCTTCGGCACGGAGTACACCCAGCGGAATGGAAAATAGCAAAATGCATCCCGATCCCCAAACCCGGCAAAGCAAACTATCACGAAGCAAAAGCCTACCGGCCCATCTCCCTTCTACAATGCTTCAGCAAAATCCTGGAGAAAATAGTGGCCCAAAGACTCTGCACCTCCCGAGAGATCCTAGGCACACTCCCAGCAAATCAATTCGGAGGAAGACCAACCATCTCAGCAATCAAGGCCCTCCTAAGTACCCTAACACCAACACAACAAAACCTACTACTGAAAAACAGCACCGGAGTCGCCCGGCGGGACAGACCAGCGATCCTAACCAACGACATCCAAGGAGCATTTAACTGTGTAGACCACCTACTCCTCACAGAAATCATGCACCAGCAAAAATTCCCCACCTACCTAACAGAATGGTGCAAGGAATTCAACCCCGGCAGAAAACTACAGTTCCAATTTAATTATGAGCTAGAAGAACCACAGCCCTATGAATCTGGAGTGTCGCAAGGTAGCCCCATGTCCCCGGTACTATTTATGATCTATGCCGGAGTAATCCTGGACCCAACAAGCAGCCCGAAAGAGATGGATACTACATACATCGATGATGATGTGCTGGTGCAAATATCCAAAACACCAGGTTTCATAATCAAAAGAATGGAGGAACGAATGAGAGAAAGACTAATAAAAGCTGAGCCACTCCAAATTAAATACGACCCGGATAAATCTGACCTGATCTTCTTCCACCCCACCACATCATCTGTACAACAACCTCGACTTCCAGTCAAAATCAACAACACCACTATATACCCCAAGGAGAGGCTGAAATATATAGGAGTCTGGATAGATCCGACCCTCTCCTTCCGGCCCCATATCGAAGCAGCGATTGCAAAAGGCCTGAAATCCCTCTACCAAATCCGAAACACTGCCCGCCTGCCAGGCATAACAGTTAAGACGATCCACCACCTAGTAACACAAGGCTTCCTTCCAAGTCTGCTCTACGGATCTGAGGCTTGGTGGACTGGCGCAGACCACATTATAAGATCCCTCGAACCACTATACAATGAAGCTGCCCGGGTCATCACCGGCCTACCACGATGGACCAAGAGTGCTAAACTCCTCAGAGAAGCAGGCCTACCCCCCCTAGAACACCTCCTGACTTATCGCTCAATAAAGTACGGAACTAGAATACTCTGCACCGACGCAACCCACCCCAACAATGAATCCCTGATCGAGCTCCTCCCATACAGAGAAGCAAATATCAAAGGGACAGGCCTGCACTGAATCGCCTCCCTCTTACTCCCACACCAAACCCCCGGAAACATGAGAGAGAAGTGGAACCAAAACAAACTGTTACGCGATCATCTGTTAGAAGAATGGAATATACAACCAATACCTAACTACCACCATCGGGGGGAACTCCGGCCCCCTCCCAAGATTGCGGAACTCACCCTTACAGAAGCAAAGAAAGTATTCCGAATCCGATGCGAAACCACCTAAATAGATAAACATACAGCACATATAGACCCCGAACCATGCCAGTGTGGTATGGAAAACTCAGCGAAACATACACTCATGGAATGCCTAGCGTGGGCTCGAATCCGCGCCCCCCTGATAGAGAAAATCCCCGGAGCGATGACCTGGGAAAACTGGATGTTTACAAACCTTAAAACGGACCTCATCCTACAATTTGCAAAGAAATCTCAACTCTTGAAATGGTACGAGTCGGTGGAGGCGGAGGCGGACCTGGAAGAGGGGACGGAAGAAAATGATTAGGGACAGGATTAGGAAGAGTAGTTTCTTCTTACCTTTTATTTTTGTTTTCTTTTTATTTGTGTTTTTTGATGGATCCAGCGCCCGAGTCCACTGAGATACGTTATTTCTCCTTGCCGTTGGGTTTTCTGGTTGCGTGTTGTTATGGAATTTCCTTGCTTTTGTTTGTGTTCGTTTTGTTCTTGTTTGTTCGTGTTCCTTCTTTTTCTTCTCTGTTTTTTTGCTTTCTGTTTTTCTGTTCGGTTTCATTTTAGGCGGTTGGTTTGGCGTGCGATAAGTCTTGTACTTCAAAGCAATATAAGTTTCTTCTTCTTCTTCTTCTGTATTCTACTCCACGAATATTATTCTTGTTCTACGCTACGTCATAGGGTTCAGTTTGATTACTAGATAAAACAGAGCTGCCCCATAGTCCATAGTTACGAATATCGTCTACTACGTTCTTACCTCAGTTGTATTCCTTGTCACTATAGTCTCTCGTCCATAGACCCACGTTATAGATAGATAGTGAGGGGTAAGAGACCCTTTATAAGTAAAAGAAAGAGAACCGATGGCTAATACCCAAGAACCTCCCGGAAACTCCTGATGATTATTCCCTTGAATAAATGATCCCTTTTGCAATGGTAAGACTATATTGACATAAGATTCGTAACAGTATTCTTCCATAAACCTTGGTGTGAAAATTTGCTAAATCAACTGAGCTATTTACTATTCAAGTAGGCTTTAAGCTCCTTGCCAACTGCAAGCATTTCCATAAGGTTCAGACCTACCTAATATACACTAAAAACTTTCTATATAGTCAAGCTTTAACCTAAGTCCTACGTTTTAGAGTCAGGGATAACATTAATCTCACTGCTTTAAAAGCCTTTCTTATTCTCCTAAAAGCTACCCTTTTAGGTTCAAAATATGTGACGATGACCGGAGAGAATTTAGAGTACTTATTTGCTATAAGTATAACAGTTTGCGAGCACGAGCTGTTAATAATTGATTATAATCAGTATTGAATAAAGATGAATCTGGTGGAGTAATCTCGGACAGGATTTTAAGGTTGTCTAAGAACCGTCGCCGCACAGTTCCCAGCTCGATAGTTATGGGTTGAACAGGACGACCCGAGACTATTCCCATTATCAGGTATGCACGTACAGGAGATCGTAATTGTGATTGCCGTGTCGGAGGTGGTGGTTGTCGGCTGTTGAGTATTAGCTCGGGTTACCTAGGTGTAGGGTAAGCTAGGGTTAACTAGGGTGATGGGCTAAACTAGGGTTAGCTAGGGTTAGCTAGGGTTACGAGCCAAACTAGGGTTAGCTAGGGTTAACTAGGGTTACGAGGCAAACTCTAGTAGTGCAATGTTGGACAGGATTTTTAGGTTGCCCGGGAACCGTCGCCCCACAATTCTGGGCTCTGTTGCTATGAGTTGAATGGGAAGACTCGAGTCGATTCCCATAATCAGGTATGCACATACAGGGGGTCGTGGTCGTGATTGCAGGGGCGGAGGTGGTGGTTGGGGGCAGTTGAGTAGGGTAACTCACTGTGAGTCTTGGCAACCCGTCCTGGTTCACTCCATCACCGACACTCACAACAATCGACAACTGCACCGTACCGAGCGTGCATTCTCTATCCTACAATCATGATGGCGTTCAAAACTGAATGATGCCGTGTTCCCATCTTGTGGTTCGATGAAATACACGAATTTCGGATTCTGAACCCCGGGTTACCGCATTGGGCGAATACCACTTCGACGCTCGTAACCCTAACCGCCAACAGCCAGGTACAAACCACCACCAAATACAGATTTATGTATTTCATTTCTGCCGAAAATTCTATTTTGCACACCCAACCAAACCAACTTTCAACGCTCGTAACCATAACCACCAACAGCCAGGTTTAAACCACCTCGTAATACAGATTCATGCATTTCATTTTGACCGCAAACCGTATTCTCTAACCCTAACCAAAATCCCACTTCAACGCTCGTAACCCTAACTACCCACATCCAGGTTTCAACCACCACAAAATACACATTGTATTTCATTTTGACCGAGCATTGTATTTTGTACATGTAACCAATTCAGATTTGAACGCTCATAACCCTAACTACCCATATTCAGGTTCCAACCACCACCAAATACACATTCAAGTATTTCATTTTGACCGAAGATTGTATTTTGTGCACGTAACCAAACCGACTTTCAACGCTCCTAACCCTAACTACCCACATCCAGGTTTCGACCACCACCAAATACACATTGTATTTCATTTTGACCGAACATTGTATTTTGTACATGTAATCAATTCAGATTTGAACGCTCGTAACCCTAACTACCCACATCCAGGTTCCAACCACCACCAAATACACATTCAAGTATTTCATTTTGACCGAAGATTGTATTTTGTGCACGTAACCAAACCAACTTTCAACGCTCCTAACCCTAACTACCCACATTCAGGTTTCGACCACCACCAAATACACATTGTATTTCATTTTCACCGAACATTGTATTTTGTACATGTAACCAATTCAGATTTGAACGCTCATAACCCTAACTACCCACATCCAGGTTCCAACCACCACCAAATACACATTCAAGTATTTCATTTTGACCGAACATTGTATTTTGTACATGTAAGCAAACCAACTTTCAACGCTCGTAACCCTAACCACCAACAGCCAGGTTTAAACCACCTCGTAATACAGATTCATGTATTTCATTTTAACCGAAGATTGTACTTTGTACACTTAACCAAACCAACTTTCAACGCTCGTAACCCTAACCGTCAACAGCCAAGTTTACACCACCTCGTAATACAGATTCATGCATTTCATTTTGACCGAAAACCGTATTATCTAACCCTAACCAAAATCCCACTTCAACGCTCGTAACCCTAACTACCCACATCCAGGTTTCAACCACCACAAAATACACATTGTATTTCATTTTGACCGAACATTGTATTTTGTACATGTAAGCAAACCAACTTTCAACGCTCGTAACCCTAACCGCCAACAGCCAGGTTTAAACCACCTCGTAATACAGATTCATGTATTTCATTTTGACCGAAGATTGTACTTTGTACACATAACCAAACTAACTTTCAACGCTCGTAACCCTAACCGTCAACAGCCAAGTTTACACCACCTCGTAATACAGATTCATGCATTTCATTTTGACCGAACATTGTATTTTGTACATGTAATCAATTCAGATTTGAACGCTCATAACCCTAACTACCCACATCCAGGTTCCAACCACCACCAAGTACACATTCAAGTGTTTCATTTTGACCAAACATTGTATTTTGTACACGTAAGCAAACCAACTTTCAACGCTCCTAACCCTAACTACCCACATTCAGGTTTCGACCACCACCAAATACACATTGTATTTCATTTTGACCGAACATTGTATTTTGTACATGTAACCAATTCAGATTTGAACGCTCATAACCCTAACTACCCACATCCAGGTTCCAACCACCACCAAATACACATTCGTGTTTCATTTTGACCGAACATTGTATTTTGTACACGTAAGCAAACCAACTTTCAATGCTCCTAACCCTAACTACCCACATCCAGGTTTCGACCACCACCAAATACACGTATTTCATTTTGACCGAACATTGTATTTTGTACATGTAACCAATTCAGATTTGAACGCTCATAACCCTAACTACCCACATCCAGGTTCCAACCACCACCAAATACACATTCAAGTATTTCATTTTGACCGAAGATTGTATTTTGTGCACGTAACCAAACCAACTTTCAATGCTCCTAACCCTAACCACCAACAGCCAGGTTTAAACCACCTCGTAATACAGATTCATGCATTTCATTTTGACCGAAAACCGTATTCTCTAACCCTAACCAAAATCCCACTTCAACGCTCGTAACCCTAACTACCCACATCCAGGTTCCAACCACCACCAAATACACATTCAAGTGTTTCATTTTGACCGAGGATTGTATGTTGTACACGTAACCAATTCAGATTTGAACGCTCGTAACCCTAACTACCCATATCCAGGTTTTAACCACCACCAAATACAAATTGTATTTCATTTTGACCGAGCATTGTATTTTGTACATGTAACCAATTCAGATTTGAACGCTCGTAACCCTAACTACCCACATCCAGGTTTTAACCACCACCAAATACACATTGATCTGTTACATTTTGACCAAAAATTGAATTTTGTACCAATAGAATAACAACCACCTGAAGAAAAATAGATAGAAAAGTGTCACTTCAGTATTCTGTCCTACATTCTAATTCCGATACGTAACCATGAAGATTGCAATTACCAGTCTTCGGGTTATATAGTATTATTGTTCTAGACACTACTGAGCAATATTGAATCGCTGGATAGATATGCATGTCTACTAGGACAATATGTAAAGCAAACACTAATGGTGAAATTGGTTACTACTGTTTGTGATAGCTTGAGAGGTATAATATCAATCGAAACAGAAACTGCATCACAGTTTGAAATTGAGATTTGTTGGTATGGTTTGCTATGATTCGATTTGTATGCACACTTGTTGTGACAGAATGTAAATCAGGAATACTAAACAAGATTTGTGAGAATTTTTGGCAATCGCTTGATACGTATGCATACAAATCGGAATGGCAAGTAAAGTGCATACCGATAAGAAAAACTTTCTGTATCATGGTTGAATACTAAATAGGAGTCGATACCTGTCAGGAAAATATTCGAATCAGTAATTAGCAGTGAACTTGGTTGATATCATTAATAATTGGTTCATACTTACTAAAGGTACGCCACCTCGCGACCCTGAGGTCCCCTTCTCTCCCACCTATGTGTAGTATCTAGGCACCTCCAGTAATTAGTTAATTTTGTGTTTGCCGTCTCATGTTCTGTTTTCCTGGCCATGTCACATAAATGCCTAAATCTTGTTCTGGAGATCAATTTCCGATTTTCAATGCCAGGTCCAGTGCCAGCTCTAATGCCCACTCCGGTGCGAGCTAAAATCAAGGTCAACC